ATGTCTTTTTACAAGGATTAGCCCCTCCTGATAACATGCTTAGAGTATGAGAGATGATCTTGTTTGTAAGGAGTGCCCTAGCTGCACTTTCTCCAAGACAAACCACAGGAATTTCTTTAAACAAATCCATAGGAATTTAGCACTCTGCCAACACCACAATCAGTTCTTTGGTCTTCTTTAGTCATTGTCCAGCTTTCAGATGCTTATGAAGCAATTGAAAATACCAGGGCTTGAGTCAGGCTCACTTTAGTCTCTAAACCAACATCCTGCTCAGCTATTTGTCTTTCAGTGCCTTAAATTAGAACTGACTCATACAGCTCACTCACCAGCAGGTTTTCATAGGCTGTAAACTGCACAGGAGATTGCCCCTCTTTTCCCAGTAGAGCGGCTGGTGGAATTGCACCATGGGCCTTTGTAATTACAGCACAGAAAATTCCAGCCATAGTCTTTGGAATTCAAAGTGTATGTATCTTTGCTTGGATATATGTTGGCTTTATACTATGATTGTGCATAATATGTGTTTCCCATGACTCCTGTTGTTTTAACCTTGGTACTTACGGCATTTGGAAGGAGTGGCATCCACTTCCATAACAGCTTGCCTCCAGAAACCCTATGAACCTGGAGAGAGGATGAAAGGCACCCAAGCTTCGAGAACTCTCCTTCATAAGGTCACTGAGTCGCCTGCAACTCAACGGCACTTAACAACAACTTATGTTATTTGGGAGTCAGAACTGTACATTGTTGGATGCTTTCCTAGCCTCCCTAGTATCTAACCCCTCCTCCTGGTTATAACTTTTTTCTGACAGTGCCACTTGTCTCCTTGGAAACAGACAGTAATATCCACTGTTGTAGCGGCTGCCAAGTTGGAATGAAGAGGCGAGCAGCCTTCCATTATATAAGGAACAAAAGGAGGGAGCATTAGGGAAAATTGGTATGCAGTAAAAAGGGAGTGGTGTGGGCTAATAAATGATGCTGGGTCCAGCTTAATGTGGCGGTCATTTAGCTGAAGCCTGAAGTAGAGCAGAGAGCAGTCGGGAGACTATAAAAGTGGCCCCGGAGAGAAGTAAATTTCAACAAGAGTCACAGCACTGGAATCAGAGAATGGGAGTGCTTGTGGTTGGAAATGAAGAGTTAGCAAGAAACTGAATATAAGGATGATGATCAAAGATGACACGTTAAATTTAGGAGGGAGAAAGGTAGAACCATTAAAACAGGTCACACGATGAGAAACAAATGACCGAGAACTATGACAAGCTTCATTTTAAAAGTGTACATGTTTAAAATTACCATTCTAGAAACATGAATTCTGATTAACTTTAGTCATCTACATACCTTTTGGATTAAGTTCAATTTTGGTTCTTTTGAAATAGTACATTAAACTAAAGACAAATATTAGTCTTTAAAGATGCCTTTAGACAAGAGCAATGGTGTCTCTTTGGAGACTAAGGTGCATCTGATACAGGCCATGGTCTTCGCAATCACCTGTTATGCATCAGAGAGTTGGACAATGACCAAGGAGGATAGAAGGAGAAT